TGCGCTCTGGTCCTTCCGCGCCCAGGTCTGAATGATCTGCCATGGATTGGGGTCCATCCATAATGCCTTCTGCACCACCATGAATCGGGCCACCTTGATCACGCGGGATAATATCGGGGGGTAGCTCTCGGGGTCGCGCCAGCCGGCCTCACCCTGGCCCAGCACAGCCATGGCGCATACTAATGCACTCTCATATTCATGGCTGCGATGGCGCTGGTTGAGCAGCTCAATGCAAAATTCTAAGCATGCTTTTTCTATAGCAGTCATGGCCCATGCCTCTAGGTCCCCTGGCACTGCGGCCTGGCTGCCCTGGCTGCCTGGGGCCTGGCTAGCGAGCTGCCATAGCTGCCGCCATTTCTGGCGCTGCCGTGCGGTCATCCCATATCGGGGGCTGGCCCAGTCATGCGGGGCCTGGGTCCGGGCAATAAATGCTAATATCTGCTGCCATGGCTGCACATGCTTCTTGATCACGGCCTCATCTATATATGCCAGCAGTGGCCGGTGCGGGGTCTGCCCCTTTTCAGACCGGACGGCTTCCACCCGGATGGCCTGGCCGCAATGCTGGACCGTCCGCTGGCTCTTGCGGGCCACCTGCTCCATAGTATCCCAGATCACCTGCACCCCCTGCTCAGTGGCATCCATGGGGTCTTCCTCCGGGGCTGCCATGCTAGCAAGCAGGTCACGTGCCTGGATGCCCTGCAGGTAGTCAGCCCACCGAGTCATCCGCAGCCAGGGGTTCGCGTCAGTCAACTGGCTGGCTTGGATGGCCTGATCGGCCTTGGCCTGGGCCTGGACCTGCTCCCATGCCTGGATCACGGCATCAATGGTGGCCTGGATGTGGGCAGTGGGTGCGGTCCGGGCTTGCTCCTCAGGCTGCTGGTTGGGGCATGGCACCCAGATATAATGGGACCCTTTTCGGGATGGGAAAAACCGCTGGCAGGTCACCACCTGATATCCCTGCTGGATGGTGATCTGCGCCTGTTCCTGCTCTTGCAGGCGTGATCGACCTCCATGATATGGTGCGGTCCATCCATGGTGCTCACGCCAATGTCGTTTTAACGTGTTAAGTGAACGAGTGATGAATTGGCATCTGGCCTGGTCGCGCTGGCACAGTAACCCATCAGGGTATTCATCCAGGTGGGGGATTGACTGGGTAATCCGACTAGGCCATTGCACAGCATGGGGGTCATGCTCCACACCCTCCCAGCTCTGGACGTCCTGATGGATCTGCTTTGCAGTGGCCTGGGGTAATCGATGGGCCTTCCCCCGGAGATGGCTTTCTACCTCAGCTAGCCACACCCCATGGCGGCAGGACCGGCAGATAATGACTGGTGGCTGGGAAAGCTTAATAAATAACTGCTGTTCCATTCTTAATGGCTCATTTGGATGAATATAATACTATTTAACTGATTATCTGAATGATGATGGGATTCAGCCCCTGAATGTTTGATTTGTGGGCATTGCTTTTTCTATCCGCAGGAACTCAAACCACACCAACTCCTGGGGGTCAAATATGCCCTCACCATGTCTGCAAATCATTGATTTTGATACTGAAATTTGGCTGGATTACTTGGAACTAGTATATCAGTGAGCTGGCTAAATTTAAACTGCCTCCAACCTCCCCTGGAGCCATGGTGGTGGTCATGGGCAGTGCTTTCCAGATTCTCACTGTTTGGCGGCAACTCAAACCACATCAAAATTCCGTACATTAACCACACCCTTACTACAGCTGCAAATCATCGAATTCCCAATTGAAATTTGGTCAGATTATGTGAAACCAGCTAACCAGTAACCTGCCAAAATTTGAAATGCATACGACTCTATCTGGCGCGACGATTGTACCCCAGACGGTTTCGTTGGTCCCTACCCCCATACCCCGGCCGCTAAACCGCTCTGGGCTAAACCCTAGCTTGGTG